CCACTTCCCAAAATCCCTCTGAAAAAAAAAAATCCATTTCTTCCCAAATTGGAAAATTGTCGTTCCCGTGGATTTAGGGGCTGGATTTTTCCACCTGCTCCCAAACCCCCTTCCCTGCTCCGACACCCCCTCCCTGAGCTTCTCCCGACCTTTGGAATGTCAAGGATGGAGAAATTCCGGGAGCGTTCCCGGCTCCGGGAATTCCTTTGCTTCCAGCTGTTTTTTCCCGGAGAGACGCGGCACCCGAGGCAGGTAAACCCCACCCCCCTCATTTACATATAATTACCACAATTAAACAGCCTCGAAACACCTTAAAAACAGTCAAGCCCAGGAAAATCGGGAATGTTGACATTCCCGAGTCGAGGGGTCGGGCCAAGGGAATAAATCCCAGGTTTAAGCCCAGTTATTTTCACGGCATTTCCCAGGTTTTCCGGGGAATGACTCCTTCCCAAAGCAGGTTTAAAACCCCAAGAATATTCCCCAAAATCCCCCCCAAACCCCACAGATTCCAAGATCTTCCCGTTTAAAGCCGGGATCAAAGCGGGGGTTTTCGGGGAAAAAAAAAAAAAAAAGCTGGAATTCGAATGATCAAACCCAACTCTCGTTTTCCGAAGTCTTGGATGCATCGGGACCTGCTGCCACCGGAAAAGCAAAGGATATCTGGAACCCCCGGAGCCTCCTTCCGACCCCAATTCCCACCGTTTTTTCCCCCTCACCTTCCTCTCCCGGCCGCGGGGATCGGGAGCGTCTCCCTCCACATTCCGGCGCCTTTTCCAGGGTTAACCCGGGATGGGGAAGGAGGGATGAAGCCCGTCCTCCCCCCCCCCCCCCCCCAGGGTTAACCCGGGATGGGGAAGGAGGGATGAAGCCCGTCCTCCCCCCCCCTCCCCTTCCCTCCCAGCTGGGCACCGCCGGCACAGCCGGCGCATCCCGCTGGGAATTCCGGCCTTGGAAAAACTCCCTGTCCCTGGAACGGTGCCCGGGAGCTGCTCCGGCAGCGCGAATCAATCCCAGGAAAAAAAAACGCAGGGAAAAAAAAAAAAATGGGAGCAGAAGAGCCCGCCCGGAGCTGCCCGTGATCCGGCCGGAATTTTCCAGCTTGGAAAACTCTCCTGGGGACGGAAACGCGGCCTCTGGAATCCAAACCCCGGCCCAGAGCTGGGTTTTATCCTAATTTACAGCTGAATTAAACAATGGGAGAAACGGGATAAAATCCCAAATCCCTGCGGTCGCCCTTCGTCTCCCTGAAATTCCCACGGAGTTCCTGCGGAATTCGGAGCACGGGAATCTCCCCAGGGGCTCGGGCTGCGCCTGGAATTTTAAATTCCTGCTCGTTTCTCGCGGATTTTCCGGGATTCGGGGCTCTCACGACCCTTCCGTGGTCTCTCCGACCCTTATTCCGCGCTTCCAACCCCTGTTCCCGTTCTTTCCACGCCTGGGAATCCCACGTCCTCCTTGGAATTCGACCTTGGGATCCGGTCGAAGCCGATTCCCAGTAAAAAGACACCGGGAATGAGGTGAAATCCGGGCAATAAAACGGATCCCGGGGGAGAAACGTCCGAACATTTGGATGTTTGGGTCAAGTTTTCCAAGCCCTCAACTGGTTTTTGGGGACAAATCCAGGCTGGGAATGGTCGGGATGGGGCCGGAAGGAGCCGAGCCGTGATTTCCCGGCCTGGATCCAGGGATGTCCCTCACTCCTTGGGATGGGCTGAGGTGTCTTTCCCACGGGAAAACCCGGAGGAACCGGGATTTGTTGGGATCAGGAGGAGCTGGGTTGGCCTTGCCGCCTGTATCCCGGGACATCCCGGGCTCGCTCCCGCTGGGATAACGGGGGGATTTGGCTCCGGATGCGGCGGGAGAACAACTCCAAACCCCACCGAGCTCTTCCCATCCCCATCCAGGGCTTTGCTCTGGCCGGGATCACCCATCCATGGGGAAACCATGGAGGAACCACGGAGGAACTGTGGAGAAACCATGGAGGAATCATGGAATAACCATGGAGAAACCAAGGAGAAACCATGGAGAAACCAGGGAGGAACCGTGGAGGAATCATGGAATAACCATGGAGAAACCAAGGAAAAACCATGGAGGAACCATGGAGGAACCGTGGAGGAACTGTGGAGAAACCATGGAATAACCATGGAGGAATCATGGAGAAACCATGGAATAACCATGGAGGAATTATGGAGAAACTATGGAGACACCATGGAATAACCATGGAGGAACCGTGGAGGAACCGTGGAAAAACCATGGAGGAACCATGGAATAACCAAGGAGAAACCATGGAGGAACCATGGAGGAACCGTGGAGGAACCATGGAGGAACCGTGGAGGAACCATGGAGAAACCATGGAATAACCATGGAGCAATCATGGAGAAACCAAGGAGAAACCATGGAATAATCATGGAGAAACCAAGGAGAAACCATGGAGGAACCATGGAGGAACCATGGAGAAACCATGGAGGAATCATGGAGAAACCATGGAGAAACCATGGAATAACCATGGAGGAATCATGGAGAAACCATGGAGGAACCGTGGAGAAACCATGGAGGAACCATGGAATAACCAAGGAGGAACCATGGAGAAACCAAGGAGAAACCATGGAGGAACCATGAAGGAACAGTGGAGGAATCATGGAGAAACCATGGAGGAACCATGGAATAACCATGGAGAAACCAAGGAGAAACCGTGGAGGAACCATGGAGGAATCATGGAGGAACCATGGAATAACCAAGGAGAAACCATGGAGAAACCATGGAGGAACCAAGGAGGAACTGTGGAGGAACCATGGAAAAACCATGGAATAACCATGGAGGAATCATGGAGAAACCAAGGAGAAACCAAGGAGGAACCATGGAGGAACTGTGGAGAAACCATGGAATAACCATGGAGGAACCATGGAGAGACTGTGGAGAAACCATGGAGGAACCATGGAATAACCAAGGAGAAACCATGGAGAAACCATGGAATAATCATGGAGAAACCATGGAATAATCATGGAGAAACCAAGGAGAAACCATGGAGGAACTGTGGAGAAACCATGGAGGAACTGTGGAATAACCATGGAGGAATCATGAAGAAACCAAGGATTAACCATGGAGGAACCGTGGAGGAACCGTGGAAAAACCATGGAGGAACCGTGGAAACCATGGAGGAACCATGGAGAAACCATGGAATAACCATGGAGGAACCATGGAGAAACCGTGGAGAAACCATGGAATAATCATGGAGAAACCAAGGAGAAACCATGGAGGAACCATGGAGGAACCGTGGAAAAACCATGGAGGAACCATGGAATAACCAAGGAGAAACCATGGAGAAACTATGGAATAATCATGGAGAAACCAAGGAGAAACCATAGAGGAACCATGGAGAAACCATGGAATAACCATGGAGGAATTATGGAGAAACCACGGAGAGACCATGGAATAACCATGGAGGAACCATGGAGAAACCAAGGAGAAACCATGGAGGAACCGTGGAGGAACCAAGGAGGAACTGTGGAGGAACCATGGAGAAACCATGGAATAACCATGGAGGAACCATGGAGGAACCAAGGAGAAACCGTGGAGGAACCAAGAAGAAACCATGGAGGAACTGTGGAGAAACCATGGAGAAACCATGGAGAAACCAAGGAGGAACTGTGGAGGAATCATGGGGAAACCATGAAGGAATCATAGGAGGAACTGTGGAGAAACCATGGAGGAACCGTGGAAAACCATGTAGGAACCATGGAGGAATCATGGAGAGACCATGGAAAAACCATGGAGAAACCATGGAATAACCATGGAGGAACCAAGGAGGAACCATGGAATAACCATGGAGGAACCGTGGAGAAACCGTGGAGGAACCATGGAGGAATCATGGAGGAACCAAGGAGAAACCATGGAGGAACCGTGGAGGAACCATGGAGGAATCATGGAGGAACCATGAAGGAACCGTGGAGGAACCATGGAGGAACCATGAAGGAACCGTGGAGGAACCATGGAATAACCAAGGAGAAACCATGGAGGAACTGTGGAGAAACCATGGAATAACCACGGAGGAACCATGGAATAACCATGGAGGAACCATGGAGAGACCATAGAGAAACCATGGAGGAACCAAGGAGGAATCATGGAGGAACCATGGAGAAACCATGGAATAACCATGGAGGAACCATGGAGGAACCGTGGAGGAATGACAGAGAAACCATGGAGGAACCATGGAGAGACCATGGAGAAACCATGGAGGAACCATGGAGGAATCATGGAGAAGGCACAGCTCTCCCACCC